TCAGAGACTCTGAGTGGGTATGGTTTGGAGAGAAAGAGACAGGAATGGGGCTTTCTTGATCATTCAGGGGTAAGCTGAAGGTTCCAACTGAACACTCTATGCTTATTAACTGAACTCTTGCCCTTAATGGCCTCAGGCTCTGGATCTGTATTGTATGCTTTTCATCCTTGGGGTCAGGTGTACCCAGTTGGTAAATTCCTGTGTGCAGGCAGAATCATCATGCTATATGGTTTCATGGTGGTAGATAATTTTTCAAAGAATTATTTTGTTTGTAGAGACTGCCATAGCATACCTTTTTTTGTCCTTCTCCAAAGCGCACACAAATTTTCATAAAGGAAGAGGCATAAGGAAACTCCCAAAACACGTTGTTGAGAATCATCAAAAATGAAAGTAAAAAAGTGCTGGAGAATTAGGGTTGCATTGCTTTAATGGAGCAACTTTGTCAAGCAGCAGTGATTGCCATGTCATCTATGCCATACTATCATAACATATGAAATAATACCTTGACTTCTTTCTTTTCAAGTTGTTTCTCCATGATCTATTTCAGTTGTTTTATCGATACACCTAGAACATCAAGTCCTATTTTGAACTGATATGGAGGGAATGGACAGCCTTGTCTAATTCCTGATTTTAGTGTAATTGCTTTGAGTTTCTCTTCATCTTATTGCCTTTATGTTTAGGTAGGTCTCTTGTATCTCTAATTCTCCAATACTTTTGTCATGAAGGGGCATTAGATTTTGTCAAAGAATTTTTAAGTATCTAATGATAATGTCATGAATTTTTGTTTTTGTTTTTCCCTTTCAGTTAGTTTATCTGGTGGGTTGATTACATTGACAGAGTTTCATATGTTGAACCATCCCTGCATTTCTGCATTGGAGCCAACTTGATTATGGTGGATGATCTTTTTAATGTGTTCTTAGATTTGGTTTGCAAGTATTTTTTGTATCTATATTCCTGTGGAAAATTGGTTTGTAATTTTCTTTCATTGTTGACTCTTTGTGTGGTTTCAGTTTAATGGCAACTGTGGTCTCATAAAATGAATTTGGCACTGTTCTGTTTCTATTTTGTGGAGCAATGAGAGGATTATTTGTATTAGCACTTCTTTGAGTGTCTGAGAGAGTTCAGTGCTAAAACCATATGGCCCTGGGCTTTTTGGTTGGGAGACTTTTAATGATTGTGTCTATTCCCTTTGGGGTTATAGGTTTATTTAAATTGTAGGTCCAGATTTAACTTTGGTACGTGGTATCTATTGAGAAAACCACCCATTTCTTCTAGTTTCTAATTATTGGACTACAAGTTTTTAAACAATGACTCAATGATTCTTTGGATTTCCTTTGTCCTGTTGATATGTCCCCCTTCTCGTTTTTGATTTTGTTAATTTGGACATAATTTCTACATCTTTTAGTTAGTGTGCTTAGGGGTTTGTCTATCTTTTTGATTTTCCTACAGAACCAATGTTAGCATTCTGAATATTCCCTTGGGGCTGCCCAGTATCCTGATGTCATTTTACATAAAAGACTCCTTTGAGAAAAACTCCTCCCTTCCTGTCTTCCTCTCTTCCTCCTCTCTTTCTCAACATGATGTAGTGCACACCTCTGCTTTCCATTTTCCCTCTCTTTCTCTCTCACTCCATCTCTCGATTCCCTTTCCCCTCCTCCTCTAATAATAAAACTCTCCACGTGGATGGCATGTGTGCATCGTGTGAGTAGCATGCCACTGCCGCCTGCATGGCCTGTTTCCCTCACCCCTGGGGTACCCTGACCCAACCTGCGAAGATCTCTCCTGCAACGTATCATTAACAGCCAACTCTTTGTTTCATTGATTCTTTGTAATGTTTTCCTTGTTTTTATCTTATTGATTTCAGTCTTCACTTTGTTTTCTGCTATCTACTCCTTTTGTGTGAACTTGCTTCCTTTTGTTCTAGAGCTTTTAGGTGTGCTGTCAAGTTGCTGGTATGAGATTTCTCCAATTTCTTTATATAGTCACTTAGTGCTATGAACTTCCTTCTTAGCACCACTTTCATTGTGTCCTATAAGTTTTGGTATAAAGTATGCCATGGAGTCCAGCTCCAAGACTATACACACAGGGTTTGTAGAATAAACCATAGTGTACTGAAGACTAATTTGGGACTTTTTTTTTTTTATCTTAGGGGTAATAATAGAATAAATTCACACACGAACTGTAGCCAGATGGTTTCTCTGGTCCCGCCCGGGCTGCAGCTGCTCAGACCCAAGTTAACACACAGAGGCTTATATTATTTTCCAACTATGGCCATAGCAGGCTTCTTGCTATCTAGCTCTTATATCTTAAATTAATCCATTTCTATTAATCTATGTTTTGCCACATGTTCCATGGCTTTACCGGTCTGCTGGCATCTCTCTCCACCTTCTTCCTGTCTCTCTTCCTGTTTATCCCTTGGATTTCCACCTGCTTCTAAGCTGCCTTGCCATAGAGCAATGAAGTTTTATTTATCAACCAATGTTTTATTTATCAACACATATTCACAGCATACAGAAAGGCATTCCACATCTATGAACTGTTTGGGTCATGCTCTTTTACTTTTCGTCAGCTTTTTCTTCACAGTTTATATACACATTTAACAGAAAGTTTAGTCAGTAAAAATGGTTACTGAAAACTCTTCTCAGTGTCACAAAGCATTCCTTGTATAAGTGATAAGAGCTTGCCTGCTATTGATAGTGGGTGGCTGCAGCTGTGGGTATAAAGGGGGTGGTTTCTGCCTCTACACTGTATTCCTAAGGAGATAAGCCTAAGGAATTACAAGGGGAGAAGGCTAAACTATTGAGAGAAGTAAAGAACTCGTGTACTCTGCATTTCTTAAGTGTATTTAACATTATAGGCTAACATGTGGCAGAACTGTCAGTTTCTCCCTTCACAGCTTCCAGCAGGAGAGAACAGGAGAGAGCCATATGCAAATAACCGATGGACAGAGTGGTGTCTATGGGTAACCATGGCAACCTGTGTAAATCAGAAGGGGAAACGAGTAGCATTGATCGCGTCAGTGCTTTTGCCAAAGGCTGGCTGGCAGACAAAAAACATGTCAGATTTAAAAATACATTTTCTATCCTGCAGCCAGAGCAGGGAGGAAACCTTGTAACTTTTTTGTTCAGTGCTATGAAGCCAGCCATCTCCCTGTAATTCTGGCCATCTATGTAGCTTTTCTCACTGTAACTAGGCATAAAGCTATTTTTCTCTGGACATGGTTAGTCGGTTAACAGCTTTTTCCTGTTAATCATGTAAATATCAGGACTTAAACATAGACATGTAGTTAACTGAGCCTGATATCTTGTATCATACAAAGTGTTAATTGCTAAAGGGTCAGAACAGATGAACACTGTGAGTCTCATTATCAGCTGCCATTGTTGGAAGCACAGGGCAATTCAGTATCTCATGGACCTTGATTTAACAAAGCCAGATACTTTGTAATTTTGTCCTTACATCTAACTGTGAAAATCCTGTTTGTGATCTATCCACAGAGACTCTTGGTCTGGCCAAATTGCCCTGTCAGTAAGCTAATTATAGAGAACAGGTTTCTAAGTTTCTTACCATTATGTGTAACAAACATTGGACTACGAGAGCTTGTTTTATTTACCAGAAATACACAGGGTAGGGAGAAGTGTGTATGATCACATCATCATTAAAAAGGACCTTTGTGCCTTTCTTTCGTACCTATTCCTCCTTAATTAATTTTTGTTTTTGTTTTTTTCATTTAAAAAAATATTTATTTGCATGAGTGTTTTGTGTGCACATAAGTCTGTGCACCAGGTGCCAGAAGAGGGTGACAGGTCCCCTGGAACTAGAGCTACAGATAGTTGTGAGCTCTCATGTGGGTGCTGGGGGTGTCAACTGAGGTCCTATGGAAGAGCAATAACAAGTGCTGTTGTTTGTTTGTTTTCCACACAGGGTCTCTCTATGTAGCCCTGGCTATCCTGGAACTCTCTGTGTAGACCAGGCTAGCCTGGAACTCACAGAGATCTGCCTACTTCTGCTCCCAAGTACAGGGATTAAGGATGTGTGCCACCATGCCTCGCTAATAAGAGCTTAACTGTGAGCTATCTCTCCAGCCCCAGGTTTCATATTTTAATTGCTTTTTTATTTTAAAACTAAATTACAATCTAAATTGGTTTTTAAAGAGTGCCTTACATTTTTACAATGATGATGATGTTTTTTGTTGTTGTTGTTATTCACATTTCTCTAGCTCACTCTTATGGTACTTGAATCAATAAGACTGGGGAGAATGCATCTTCTTCTCCTTATAGTTTTCCTGCAAATACTGTTCTTCTTTTCTCTTTACTCTTGATCTTGTTGTGACAGACCTGCCCATTACTATATTGAGCTGTATTCCATTTCTTCCTGTTTTCTTTAGAAGTTTATCATAAAATCTGTTGAAGTTTGTCTATTGACATTTCAGTTTTTACTGGAATTTTCTTATCAGAGGGATTTGGTATTATGTAAATTCATTCATTCCTTTATTCTTTCTTTCTAGTATTCTTAGTGGTAAGATTGCTAGTATTAATTTATCTCCTTTTAGGTAGAAATTATAGTTTACTGGTTTTGTGTGTCGGATATAGTCTAGTTCTTCACAGCTCTCCATTTGTTGATTTCTCATGTAAGATGCTTTAATTGCTGTGTCATCATGGCTAATTCCACTCTAATTTTTCTGTGTATACATTGCCTCTGATTGTGATCTGCAGTGCTGCTTAGGTGCATGACCTTTGTTATTTCATAAACTTCCTTCATGTGCCCTTGCTTCTCCATTAATTTTAGGAACTGATATTTTTGGGTGCAATGATAAGGTTCATAGCCATTTTCTTTCTCCACGCTTAATTATATCCTTCTATACTCTCCTGTCTATAGAAATGTTGAAAAGATTTCTGGTATCATTTTGATTTTGGGGTCTTTTTATGTGGTTTTGCATTGTTCATAAAACAGTTGTATTAATTTTAGCTTTGTATTTTTGATACCTTGATGTGAAATTTCAGCAAGAATTCCAGATTTTGTTCCAGAGATAGAAACTCAGAGAAGAGTAACAAGAAGAATGAATGCTTCTCTGATAAATGCTCCTGAGGTCAGTGTCATCTTTACATCTTTTGAATTTTTTTTTTTTTAATTATTGAAACCATTTAAGACTTTAATTCTCTACCTCTGGTAATGTTATTTAAAGTATTTGTTTTCTATGATTTATCTTCTTTTTTTCCCTCTGGTAATCAAGAGTAAGTCTGTAGATCTTTCACATACATAGCACAGCCCTTTTTCCTTATATTTTCACTCCATGTTTTACTTTGAGGATATAAATTTTCATAGACTAAAGACCTGCCATTATGAAAGAGAATATATTGCAAATTATACTCAAAGACTATATTGATGGCCAGTGTTTACATAGGATAGACTGTGTCCTTTTGTATCAACATGGACATGCAAATACATGGACTTTTTTGATGACATCACTAAGCAACTTATGGAAAAGTACAATTAGAAGAGATTCACTGTCTTGAATCCCAGTAGTAAATATATCAGCAACTTAGAGAATATGGATAATGGAAGGAATAAGTGCCTTGCTTCTTCCATAAAATTGATGTGTCTGTGATCACATGCAAAATGTAGTATCCTAGTTTACACCTTTTATATCTTGGTTTTAGAAAGGCATTGTAACTATGCCTCACGATCTCAATGGACCATGTTAGAATATAGTATGATGTGGCCCAGCTACAGATAGGATCAATACAGTGTCTGTAGTTGTAGAATTTGGAAGCACAGTTCAGTTTTGCTCATCATAAGTTAATCATCTGAGATTTACCCTGGGAATCCTATTTGATCTTAATACATGCTTCATAAAGCTAAATTCCTGCATATAGACCTCACATGTATGTTATATTCCCTAAAATTTTGCTGATTGTGATACTATTAATGTCATCTTCTTTTCACAGAGATAGAAAATACAGTATTGACTATGACCATTTTACTCTTATACTATAATTAAACTTCAGTTTTATTTTATGTTTGTGGGTATAATTGAACATATGAGTGTGTGCTATGTATGTATAGTTCAGAAGTGAGTATGGGATCCCATGGAATTGTGGTTAAAATCTGCTGTGTAGTGCCACCAGGGTGATAGGAAACAAACTACATTTTAAAGGACTTAAAGTCATTACAGAATATGAAAGCAGAGACTATTTTCAGATATAGTGATTGACACATCTTTTATCTGCTGCTTAGATCTTAGAAAACATCAGCAAATTCATGAAGGATAGAGACCTAAAGAATGGAAACCATGCTGGGTTGTAGTGGTGCACACCTTTAATCCCAGCACTTGGGAGGCAGAGGCAAGCGGATCTCTGTGAGTTTGAGGCCAGCCTGGGCTACAGAGTGAGTTCTTGGACAGGCGCCAAAGCTACACAGAGAAACCCTGTCTTGAAAAACCAAAAAGAATGGAAACCATGTAATAAGTCTTTCATTACATTGTCTTTGGAAGAGAAGCAGTGAATAACCTCTAACACATTTCTGCAGCCATGCTAGAAAACTTTGTCTTTGAACAACTGCCATTCCTCATCTATGTCACAGAAGTGTCTCTAATTCTTTAAGCTCTTTTACCTAAGAATGCATGTTGTACAGCAGCAATGGTATATAGGTATTTTTCTATTGCAGAGTCTGTTAACATTCAGGGATGTGGCTGTGGATCTCTCGAAGGAGGAATGGGAATGTCTAGATTGTGCTCAGAGGGCTTTGTACATGGATGTAATGTTGGAGAATTACAACAATCTAGTGTTTGTAGGTAAGAATGCTCTTCTCTAGAATTCCTGATTTAATATTTATTTACAGACTTTGTTTATATGTAATCTCTCTGACCTTTCTAGACACTCCCAGAAATAAGGAAAACTCTGGTTATCAACATAGCTTTTTCATGGTGCCTTCTTTACATTTTTCTCTGTTCTATAGATGCATAAACAATGCTATATTCTGTGTGATCTCTCCATTCCTCCTGCCTAGTTTTTAAAGAAAACTTAAAAGTTCAAAGACAATTGAATATTCAGAACGTGGAAATATATTGCAGTACAAACAATAATTGGAATATTGTAATTGTACTATTAGATTTAATTATAAATCAATTTCTGATATTTATAGTTAAGGAGCTTTTAAGTAAAAATTGACCTCTTAAGCCGGACGGTGGTGGCACACTCATTTAATCCCAGCACTCGGGAGGCAGAGCCAGGCGGATCTCTGTGAGTTCCAGGCCAGCCTGGGCTACCAAGTGAGTTCCAGGAAAGGCGCAAAGCTACACAGTGAAACCCTGTCTCAAAAAACAAACAAACAAACAAAATGGACCTCTTTATAGTTTCCATGGGTTTTTGTTTGTTTTGTTCATTCAGTTTTTGAGATATGTTCTCTATGTTTAGCCCCGAGAAAGCATGATTTGAATCCTAGCTGTATTAATTCAGAAGCAAAAAAGATACGTTGTGCTCTATCCCTACCCAGATTATATAATGCGTTCCTAGCTGACCAAAGCTATCCAGTGTGGCTGTGTCTCAAAAACATATACAGGAAAATAGATAAACATTATTCATTTGATCCTTCAGGGTACTCCTCTAATTATTGCTTTATCACAGTTTAGATAAGAAGGAGAAAGCCACAGTTGGTCCTTTAGGTTTGATCTGGGTCAGACAGGTGTTCTGAGCATCCATTTTAATGATGTGAGATGGAATAGACATCTGGTGAGAGCTCTATTCCTGAGAATTGGAAGTTTATATGTGATAGAAAACTTAAGGCAAATCAGTCATTAAATCTTTTACTCATGCTTTAATTCCTGTTTTCCCTCATTGTGGCAATTTTCCAGGTCAAAATCAAAGAGTCCACACAGGAGAGAAAGAACACAAAAACACAGAGTTTGATAAATCTTTTGAGTCTCAACATAAACTCACACTGAAACGAACCAATAGTGGAAAGAAACCATACCAAAGCCGGAAATGTGGAAACTGCTTCAAGACAGACTCAAGCCTTAGTAGACATCAGAGAGCTCATACTAGACAGAAACCCTATAAATGTACAAAATGTAGTAAATCCTTTACACGTTTATCACAACTCGAAGTACATTGCAAATTCCATTGTGGTGAAAAATCCTACAAACGTACAGACTATCCTAAGTGTTTTTACCAGAAATCAGAATTTAAAAGACATTTGCATCAGAAAATTTGTACTGGAAAGAAACCTTATGGATCTGGTGAATATGATAAATCCTTTACCCAGAAAATGAATCTTAGAACTCATCAGAGAAATCATACTGGACGGAAGCCTTATAAATGCAATGAATGTGACAAATCTTTTATCAGGATATTCAGTCTTAGAATTCATCAGAGAAGTCATACAGGAGAAAACCCTTACAAATGTAGTGAATGTGACAAATCCTTTACTCGGAAAGACAATCTTAGAACTCATCAAAGAGTGCATACAGGAGAAACACCTTACAAATGCAGTGAATGTGATAAATCCTTTACCCAAAGAGGCAATTTTAGTACTCATCAGAGACTGCATACAAGAGAGAAACTTTACAAATGTATTGAATGTGACAAATTTTTTACTGCCGCCTCGCATCTTAGAACTCATCAGAGAATTCATACAGGAGAGAAACCTTACAAATGCAGTGAATGTGATAAATCCTTTACCCAAAGAGGCAGTCTTAATACTCATCAGCGAATGCATACAGGAGAGAAACCTTACAAATGTATTGAATGTGATAAATCCTTCACCCATAGAGGCAGTCTATGTACTCATCAGAGATTGCATACAAGAGAGAAACTTTACAAATGTATTGAATGTGACAAATTTTTTACCACTGCCTCATCTCTTAGAACTCATCAGAGAATTCATACAGGAGAGAAACCTTACAAATGCAGTGAATGTGATAAATCCTTTACCCAAAGAGGCAGTCTTAGTAATCATCAGAGAATGCATACAGGAGAGAAACCTTACAAATGTATTGAATGTGATAAATCCTTTAACCATAGAGGCAGTCTATGTACTCATCAGAGACTGCATACAGGAGAGAAACCTTACAAATGTATTGAATGTGACAAATCCTTTACTACTGCCTCATCTCTTAGAACTCATCAGAGGATTCATACTGGAGAGAAACCTTACAAATGCAGTGATTGTGATAAATCCTTTACCCAAAGAGGCAGTCTTAGTAATCATCAGAGAATTCATACAGGAGAGAAACCTTACAAATGTATTGAATGTGGTAAATCTTTTACCCATAGAGTCAGTCTTAGCACTCATCAGAGACTGCATACAGGAGAGAAACCTTACAAATGTATTGAATGTGATAAATCCTTTACCCAAAGAGGCAGTCTTAGTACTCATCAGAGAATGCATACAGGAGAGAAACCTTACAAATGTATTGAATATGATAAATCTTTTACCCATAGAGGCAGTCTTAGTACTCAGAGACTGAATACAAGAGAGAATTTATAAATTTATTGAATGTGGTAAATCCTTTACCCAAAGAGGTAGTCTTAGTACTCATCAGAGAATGCATACAGGAGAGAAACCTTACAAATGTATTGAATGTGACAAATCCTTTACCAATGCCTCGAATCTTAGAACTCATCAGAGAATTAATATAGGAGAGAAACCTTACAAATGCAGTGAATGTGATAAATCCTTTACCCAAAGAGGCAGTCTTAGTACTCATCAGAGAGTGCATACAGGAGAGAACCTTAAAAATGCAGTAATTCTGAAATCTTTTATTCATAGAGGCATTCATAGTACTCATCAAAGAATGCATATAGGAGAGAAACCTTTAAAATGCAGTGAATGTGACAAATCCTTTATCAATAAAGGCTATCTTAGAAATCATCAGAGAATTCATGCAAGTGAGAAACCTTACAAATGCAGTGAATGTGACAAATCCTTATCCAAAAGGGTCATCTTAGAGTTCATTAGAGAATTCATACAGGAAAGAATCCTTATAAATCTAATGAATGTTACAAATCCTTCAGCAAGAAAGGCTATCTTAGACCTCAGCAGAGAATCTATACAGGAGAGAAACCTTACCAATGTAGTGAATTTGACAGACCCCAGTTGCTCAGACATAGAAAACATCAGAGAATCCATAAAAGAGAGAAACCCTACATATATATTGGATGTGAAAAATCTTTTACATATGTCCCCATCTCTTAGAAGAAATTAGAGTGTTTATACACAAAGAAACCTTACAATATATTATATGCAAGAAATCTTTGCCACATAATCATCCTGAGAACATATCTAAGTATTTATACAAGAGAGAAAGTTTACTATGTACTATATATGAAGAAAAGCCTTTACTGTCTCTCAAGTCTAATTATGAACATAAGAAAGTTATGAAAGCTTTTCAGTAACGTTCAAATCTTAGAATACATCCAGAATTTATACTGAGGAAAATTCTGAAGATGTTTTGTTTAAATGTAGGGAAATTTTCATTACAACTTTTTGTAGTTATGCAAACTTACATGCTTCATAATGAAGATAAAACACAGAAACCTGGAGAATATGCTGTTATGTAGCAGTTTCTTTGAGACTGAAGGCATGTGTCTTTATAGGAACTAAGTCAAAAATATACACCTCAAAAAAAATCTTCAAGAAATCCCTGAAACTGACAGGATTCAGTATGCTTAAATCAAATGAAGAAACTCAGATCCTAGTCTTTGAATAGGATTTGTCAAAATGATCCACCAAGATAGGATGTTTTTTAAGTAGTACATATGCTTACAGATGTGCAGTGTGCTCCTGTTATTCTGTATGTATATGCTGTATCACATGCTGGGTTAGAACTTCATGATAACAACTATTTTTGATTTCCTGTGCTCAGTAAGCAACTACTTCCCGATATTCGTTGTATTAACCCTAATAAAGCTCATTGATTCAACAGGGTGGACGTGGTTCTCTTTTCAGTTCCCTGTTGAGTGAGTAGTTGCACATGTATGTTGCATCTCCCCAGTAAAAGTGTCTCACTAAACATGTGCTTAAGCAATTGTTTCCCCAAACTTGCTGTACAACAGAAAATAGATATCAGAAAGCATTTGAGTTAGTAAAGTAGGTTAGATTGTATTTGCTCATTGCTCTAGATTCAGTACCATAATAGTACTTTGTTAAGTTAAAAGTGCTCCACACAGATAGAATATAAAGCCTTGGGGTGTTGTATGACATATTTGTGTGTTCTGACAAATAAAGCTTACCTGGAGATCAAATGGTGGAGTTAGCCACTAGTTACCCATAAGAGTCTGGCAGTGGAGGCTCATACCTTTAATCCTAGCACTTGGGATCATTACTTTAATCTCAGCTCTAGGGAGGTAGAGACAGGAATGTAAAGTAAGTGGAAACAGGATCCTTCCTCCCCTTTTAAGTCAGAAGATTTGGAGAGGTAAGAAGTGAATATGGATGCTTTGATTCTCCGATTTTTCAGCTTTCGTCCTAATATCTGTCTCTGGGTTTTTGTTATTAAGACTAATTAGTTTCACCGCTACATGGAGAGCCTAAGAGAAAAGGCTGTTGTCTTCCTTGAATTCAAGGAGGATTGAGATATAGGACTATAAAAGAACAAATAAAATACAGCTACAAACTGGATAAATAAAAATCATCCAAACTGGGCTCTTTCCTTACATGACTCTGAACTTCCAACATGATTCAACCAAACTCCAGTCACCCTCAAAATAAGGCTACCAGTGGCCTAATAATATACAACATTGTGGTGTTCTCCTGTCCTACTGTACCTTAAAATTCCATTCTACATGCCCCAAGGAATAAACTGAATTTCATTTCTTTTTGTTAAATCATTTAATCAATGCTAATATTATATATATCCCTGAAAATTAATCATGAAACATAAATCACTAAGAAAGCATTACAAAGGACTCATTTTTCAGCTTAATGTCAGGGATCGGTCAGTCTGTATAAATCATGGAACTATGAAGATTTTAAGAGAAAAACCTATGAACTAGACACAATATCCATGCTTGTGTTACCTTACATATTCCCCAAAAAATTTGCTGAAAGATTATGTAAACATACTGAAAAGTGTTGAAAAATATTTATTCTTAGTCCAAAGCATTGTATTCATACTAAAAATAGGAAGGCTCAGCCGGGCGGTGGTGGCGCACGCCTTTAATCCCAGCACTCGGGAGGCAGAGCCAGGCGGATCTCTGTGAGTTCGAGGCCAGCCTGGTCTCCAAAGCGAGTTCCAGGAAAGGCGCAAAGCTACACAGAGAAACCCTGTCTCGAAAAACCAAAAAAAAAAAAAAAAAATAGGAAGGCTCAGAGATTTTAGACCTTAGACAAGCAGGATTTTACAGTGTACAAAACCATACCATTACCTAATTTTTTCACAGATTTTAATACAAGAAGCAAGTCTCATTCAACTCATGAGAGAGTACTGTTTGGAAACATTTTGCCTTTCAGTGTTGGAGTTTGTGGACACATGAGCTCATGGTTAGTATAATCTTGGTTAAACTTGGGCTGTTGGTTTCAAATGGTCATAGACATTTTGTATCAAAGCTGCTGCAACGGGTGTTGAACCTGAGAAAGGAGACAGTGGAAAGTTAGACTTCTGTACTGGCCCTTAGCAATATGAACAGTGCAATCAGGTGGATCGACTTTGGGGATTTCAGTTCAGGTGGTCAATGGATCGAGGCCCCTCTGATGACCTTGAGATCCTTACTCTAATTCAGCATAGAATTTATGGTGTTGTGGCAAATTTGTAAGATTGTGTGCAATGAAAAGACAGGTCACCTTTTAATCATCACAATACTTTCTTCATTTTTGACAGTTTATGCACTCCATTCTTATATATTATGGCAGGAAGCATGTGACAAATAGGTATACATTAAGTCCAGAGTACCCTGAATGCTTGATTTGTGTGGAAAAGAGCATGGACAAGATGGAACAGATGAATATTAGTGGGACAAGGTCAGTTACATTATCAGAAGAGTGATGGCAATTGAAACCGGCTCTATTGGATGGGAAAATTCATACTCATTTCTGGAAGCCCCTAGATATATCCAGATTACAGGAGCCTGAATGCAATTCCCAGAGGGACTACTGTGGGCTACATTTTTGGGAACCATACAGGACTCAGACAGGATCTTGCAGAAATAGGAAACCTCTCTTCAGCTGCAGGACACCCTGTGGGACAACCTGGAGAAGTCATGAGTCAACTGTTCCTTGAGGGGAACAGAAGCTCAGTAGAGCTGCAGCGCTGGGAAATATGCAGGTTGGACTGAAACAGGAGTGCAGTCTGTCCCTGTTGTTGAGTAGGAGGACACTCCCTTTCAACATTCTGTTGTGGGTACCCAGACATGCCAGTAAACTGTAGATCATATGACCTGGGACTTACTGGGATTACTTTATTTATATTATGGGTACCAGAATATTTACAGAAGGATAATCTGTAGAAGGATTTCCATTATGTCTTGTTTGCAAACATGGTTCTCATGGTATTATAGCAATTACAAAACTGGAATTTAAACAATGCTTTCTACCTCCCCTGTTGTATCACTAGCCTTTTTGAACAAGTGGCCTTTGTCCCTGGATTAGGCATCCACTGTGAGTTTATTAGAGATTAGTACCACGAGGAACCAGTGAAGACTAGTTGAATCTGACAGTATAATTTGCTAAGTCCCATAATAATGAAAATATTGCTATTTATTGAGCAAATATTTACTCCATATTAATTTTCCATCTGGACCATATGTGATCTAGAATATAAATGCTGCATTCCAAAATGTGTCTTCATTTTCTAAATTCTTAATATGACACCTTAGAATGTGGAAAAGCAAGGCAAACTATATTTACAGTTAACACACGTACTATAGATTAGGAGAGAATTGGAAATCATTTTTAAAATAATCCTGTTCACTCAACTATATAATGAAATTTGACTAATTTTCTGTTCTCTCTTTGGTCCAACAAGAGTGCTCTTTCCATGGATGAATGGCTAAATTGTCTTGGTGTTGTTTGGTTTAAGCTTTGTTTTGTTGAGTAAATATTTCAGTCTATTGTCCCGACTGTCTGAGAACTCACTATGTAGATCAAAGCCTAGACTCCTTAATGCTAGGATTAAATACTGCACCAACACATCTGGCTCAGACAACCTCTTCATCATAGGATTTGAAGATATTCTGTTTTATGGTTTTATACTTCATTCAGGACTATTGACAATGCTTAGGCCCTAATCACAAAGAAAGTGCTTTCTTTAAATGATGAATCCATTTCCTCTGTTGTATCTTCAACACCTGAGGGTCTCCTCTTCATCTCTTGTAATCTGTTGGTTATGCTTGCCTCTATAGTTCCTGTTCTTTTACCTTCATGTTCCATTTCCAGAATTCCCTTGATTTGTGTTTTCCTTATTGCCTGCCTTTCAATTTTCAAGTCTTGAACTGTTTCTTTCACCAGTTTCATCTTTTCTTGGTTCTATTTAAGGAATTTATTGATTTCTTCTAGTTTTTTGTTTGTCTTTTCCTCCATTTCTTTAAGGAACTTTTTCATTTTCTTTTTAAGGGCCTCTGTCTTCATGAAGTTATTTTGAAGGTCTTTTTCTTCTACTTCATCTGTGGTGTGATATTCAGGTCTTGCTGTTGCAGAATCACTAGACTCTGGTGGTGCCATGTTGCTCTTTATGTTGTTGAATATATTCTTAACACTGCCGTTTACCCATCTGAGTTTGGGATAATTATAGGAACAGGTGTTAATTCTTGTGATTTGTTGGATGGGTCTTTTGTTTTTTTAATATCTATATTTATTGTCTTTTGCCCTGAGTGGCCAAGGGCTCTGGTGATTGGCTGATTGTCAGGTCATGTAGAGTTGTCTCACCTGTGGTTTTTGGGGCATTGGGTTCCTTGATACAGTGTATCATCCAGTTCTTCTGGCTATTTTAGGCTTTATTTGTGCCAATGGTATCTGTTCTTCCAACTGTTTTGTGTTGTGCCTGTGCCTGTGGAGTCTTTTCTTCCAACTGGAATAGGTTTTGACTAACCCTGACCTTCCAACTGGTGTGGGTGTTGCTTGTGCTTATAGGATCAGCTTATGGTATTTGAGAGGGCTGTTAATAGGTAGGCTGTAACACGAATTCCTAAACACTCTTATTAATAAAAAACCCAGAGGTAGATATTGGGGTGAAAGCTGAAAGATCAGAAAAACAGAACAAACCAGCCATGTTCTTACCCTCTACGAAATCCTCAGTCTAAAGAGAGTGAGTTCCTGTTTCCTCACGTCTTACATACCTTTCTCTGCCCAGACATCATTTCCTGGGATTAAAGGCATGTGTGCTTCCCAGTACTGGGATTAAAGGTATGTGCCACCACTGCCTGGCTTTGTTTCCAGTGTGGCCTTGAACTCACAGAGATCCAGATGGATCTTTGCTTCCTGAGTGATAGGATTAAGGGTGTGTGCCACCACTATCTGGCCTCTATGTCTAATCTAGTGGCTGACTCTGTCCTCTAATCCCCAGGCAAGTTTATTAGGGTACACTATATATCACCACTGTTGGCTGTTCTTCCAATTGGTACAGGCGGGGTACTTGTGCCTCTAGGGACTCTTCTTCCAAATGGTGGAGGTGGTACTTGTTCCTATAGGGACTTTTCTTCCCATTGGTGCTGGTGATGCTTGTGCCTCTAGGGGCTACTGATTTTGTGGGGTATGGATGGCCAGTGGGATGATGGGTTCTGTTCATCTGGGCAGCAGACTAGTTCTTGTAGGTTAGAGGGTCCAATGGATGGTGGTGGTAGTGTAACAGTCTGCCCACAGGATCTTACCTGCTGACTGCTGGGACTGAGATGGGAAGGTCAGGTGGATGGCATATGTCCTAGGGCTTAGGGCCTAGGGATTGGGGCAGTTAAGCTGGGAGACCAGCCGTCACTCACCTCTTCTTTTGGTGAAGGTGATGCTTGTGCCTTTAGGGGCTGCTGATTTTGTGGGGCATGGTTGGCCAAAGGTGGATGAAAGATTGCCTAGGTTTGGGCAGTGTAGTAGGTCTTGTATGTTACTGAGTCCAATGGGTGGTGGTGGTGTAGCATCTTGCCTGGAGTACTTTACCCGTAGCCCTGCTGCTCCACTCTCACAGTTTTGCTGTAGATATGTTACCATTATTGCTAAGGTTCTGATCTTAGGAACTGGGCCTTTTCCTGATTTTTTTTTCATTCATCTTCTGGTTGACAGAATATTCTCTTAAACATAATATAGCAACATTTTATATATAGATATATACCTATATATAGATATATATATTCATGTTTCAAACAGTATTCTCTTTCCTTTTTTGGACACAAAAATTTTTTGATGTCAGTTACTTCTTCCTTTCCAACTTCCATGTTTTACTACTTAGATCTGTGAGTACTAATCCTAAAAAGCTTCTTGGTTATTGATCACCTAAAGGTTGACTGAAGATGTGATCTGTGATCTGCAACTAAATTATTTTTTCAAGCTCCACAGATATAGGTATAATCATTAAAATTTACTATGTAAAATACTACTAGTAATTTTCCCTCTCAGTTTGTATTGATTCTCCTGCAGGCTTTATAGCAGGCAGGGAAAAAATGATCCACGAAAAGACAAGAATGAAACTTGGCTCAGCCCAATTTTATTGTAACTGATACTGGACCAAGATTTCCAGAGCCTGACCCAGATCATTTTCCTTTAGTCATATTTAAGCACAGCACAATTTTTGGAAAATAAAAGTTTTCAGATAATAATGAACTCAGTCCCAAGTGCACAATAATTTAAGACATGTTTACATTGCAATTTCTTACAAAGTATATATGGCACTTTCACAAGAATGGATACTGTTGACTCAGAGATAGTGCCCAAGATTTAGGGTCTAGGGAATTTCCTTGAGGTAAACATAATGTGTAGCTAGAGTTTTCCTGCCTGGCCCACAGTCAGGACAAATCTCTCTCACCTGCCAGTCCCACAGCCACTCAGACCCAACCAAGCAAACACAGAGACTCATATTGGTTACAAACTGTATGGCCGTGGCAGGCTTCTTGCTAACTGTTCTTACAGCTTAAATTAATCCATTTCCATTAATCTATACCTTGCCACATGGCTCGTGACTTACTAGCATCTTCACATGCTGTTTGTCATCTTGGCGGCTGGCAGTGTCTCTCTGACTCAGCCTTCCACTTCCCAGCTTTATTCTCCTCCTTGTCCCGCCTATACTTCCTGCCTAGCCAATGGCCAATCAGTGTTTTATTTATTGACTAATCAGCAACACATTTGCCATACAGAACATCCCACAGCAATAATGCCTGTGGGTGGTAGGATTGGCCTGGCCCTAAGATAACATAGAAGTCACTTAGGCTTTTATGGCCTAAAAACAATGCTCAAGATTACAAAAAATGGTCTTGGATAATTGTTCCTTGATCCTAATGTCTCCCTCAGGGGAGGGGGTGAGAAGGCATAGCATCAACAACACACATATCAGGACTCAGTTGAAGGCACACAGCAGACTCATTCAATGATGGGGAAGGGCTTATATACCCTCTTCCTGGTAGCCAAGCATATCCCAGTCTGGCGGCATTGCGTGGTCATCTGTCATTGACTGGGCATGATCAGGAAGTTTGTCAGCAACCAAGAACTCTGACAGAGCCTGTTGTTAGGCCCTCAGGCAGATTCCAGGTTGGCTCATAAGGAAGTACATTATGTGCATGCCTTGGGAACTGGTTTGAGCCATTTTCCTTGAACCTATAGGCCTAATTCATATCCACCCTTTCATTTTATTATGTGGGTGCTCAGTGGGAGTTGGAGTTTTATGCTCCAGCCTTGTTGACCCTGCCTAAGGGGGCTCACCAACTGGACTGTGCCTATCTTAGGTTGGCTTGCCAAACAAGCTCTTATCTATCCTTGACTATCAGGCCTCGAAGATCATCCCTGGGTAGTCAACCCAGGTGGGGTTGGTAAGTCAGTAGCCTTATGAATTTCAGAAAGCCAGGCATGCATAAAATCCTGTGGAGAGCTATTAGTTGGATGTCTAAGAGATAGTAACACCTGTAGAGTCACCTTAGTGGCTATCCATTGTTGCCAGATGTGCTGTAGGAGACACTTAAAAAAGAGAAAGATTAAAAGCACCACCCAGCCAATCAAAACATAGGTAAAAATGCAGGAGGGATCAAACAGCCTTTTTATATCATGCCAAACCTTTTCAAAAAATACTCAAAAGGCCATAACGTCTGTACTTATCTGATTTAATTGGAAAATTTTGTATGTTAGCTGTCCACAGTGGGAAGTCTTATGGGCCTGTGCAGGCTGTGAGGGTTGTAAGATGCCTGGTGACATGGGAGAGTAGTCACCTCCTGAAGCAGGTGGGTACTGGTACAGATTGCCCCAAGAATACCTTTTTGGAGGCAAGCTGCCCACAGTGGTGGTAGAGTTGAGGGGGCAGTACCACATGACTTAATGACAGCTACGTTCCCTTGACAGACTTCGAGGGGCCCAAACTGACTGTCTCGTCATCATCAGATACTGTAGAGATATCTGACATGGACATGGTAGGAGTGATGTAAAGATTACCCATCTTTTAGAGGGAAACAGCAAGCAAACAGCAGTCAGAGACAAGATGACCATCAACAGTTCTGAAAAATTGTATTGAACCCTTATGTCTTGTGCTTAGTATGTGACTTCTGTGTTTTTTTAGGCCACAACCATAAAGTATCTCTGGATCAGAAATGGTGTTTGGTTGCCGAGCCTTGGTTCCACCTCCTGGGGTGTCATTCCTTATGTGGAGGTGCATGGTGAACCAAGACAAAAAAATGTGTCTTCTTAATGGCACATGTAGACGAACATGACAGACATCACAAAAGGAAAGAAATATGGGTCCCAACACTTACCTGCTGAAGGAACCAAAAGAACATAACACTGAGGGGCCTTTCACCAAAACACACCATCTTGGGGGCTCTGTCAAGTACCATGATTTACAAGAGGGAGATGACCAGAATCTGCACTGGGAAAGAGAAAGTAACAGAAGCCCCATGTTGGGTGCCAGTTTTTGCTCGATCCTAACTGCTCCCTTGCGGGAGGGAATGAGAAGGCAACATAGACACTGGGACTCATTTGAAGGCAAATAGCAGGCTTGTTTACTCAATAATAGAGAAGGCCTTAAATTCTCTCCCCCCAGCACCCAAGCTAGGTCCTAATCTGGTCGCATTGCATGGTCATCCCTCATTGGCTGGGCATAATCAGGAACTCTGGCAGTGACCAGTAACTCTGATGGTACCTTTTGCTAGGCTCTCAGGCATACTTCAGGTTGGCTCATAAGAAAGTATGTTATATGTGTGCCTTGGCAACTGTATTGAGCCAATTTCCCTATGGGCTTGTGCTACTACAGATAAGTAAAAACAAATTCTGGGAGATAAGGCAGAGCCTGTCTCATAAGATGCCAAAGGATAACCAAGTTTTAAAATAACATCCCTAGTGTTCCAGGAAGAGCAGTTTTGTACCTCATTCCATTGAAGAAGTAAGCTGCATGTTGACTTTTCATGGGTTCTCCAGTGCTTTTCTGTGTGCACCAGGCTCTATGCTCTCTACATCTCCCCGTTTCTAAGTTTTTAAAGAAATAATAGCAGCCATAATAGAGGCCCTGGTTGAATGTATTGACAATGGCTAGTATAATCAATACAGGCAAACATAAGAGAATTATAAGAGTAACTAACAGAGGACCAAGGAAAGGATAAAAGTTTCTTAGCCACGAGGGGCTCATAAAAGTTACTTGAGAGATATTATGTATATCCTTGTACAAAGTTTTAATTTGACCATCAATAGTACAAGAAAAATCTGATACATTAAACCAACATATGCCAGATAATTGTTGACAACCAAGATTATGCTTGAGGAACAAATAATCTATAGCTCTATATTGTAATACTGTGGTCCTCAGTATTACAATATACTGTCTCTCTCTCTTTTTTTTTAAGTTTATTTATTATGCATACAGTGCTCTGCCTGCATGTATCCCTGCAGGCCAGAAGAGGGCACCAGATCTCATTACAGATGGTTGTGAGTCACCATGTGGTTGCTGGGAATTGAACTCAGGACCTTTGGAATAGCAGCCAATGCTCTTAACCTCTGAGCCATCTCTCCAGCCCTCAACCGTCTCTTAGTTGATTTTTTACTAATATTTTTGCAGTTATATTAGTAGTTTTAGTAATTATACAGGCCAATTTAGATACTTTTCTTTGTGTTCCAATAATTGATTCTGAAATAGGCAATAAAAGAGCTGAAGTGGCTTCAATAATTACAGGATCTAATGAATGTAAAGAATCATCACTATTTTTAAAGATTGTTCTCCCAGTTCTATTGATGAGTTGTAGGGATTTACTGATTAAAATGAGTGAAATATGCCCTATTCCTTATAAGCCTTTATATCTCACAGGAAGGGCAGTATAAGTTATTTTCACAAAAAATGGTCCATCCTAAAGGCAGTTGTTTACCAGAGGTACAATAAGGATGGATGTATGTACATTCAAAGCATAAACAGCTTGATAGAAAAAACGCCATTGACAGTATTATCAGGGGCAGCCTTGTGAATATGGATGCCAGTGGATTCATTATTATTCCCTGTTAGTTGTGAATAATGTTTCTGAGTGACTCCTATGTCATACATGTTTCTTTTCAAATCTCACGAATATATTGGTCTCCTTTGATATAAAAAAGATTGTTCTTGTTGACTTCTATGTGCCGGATGAAGCCACAGGTTATTTTCTAGACCATTGGCAATCGATAGCATTATTTTAGGTACAATTATACCAACTTTGATAAGCAGTACATGAGGCATTCCCTTTTTTGTGTTTCTACAACTATAGTTCCCATTGTCAAAGTTTTCTAAAGAATATTTGATTATGCTGAAATCTGTATTTTTGTGTTTGGATTGATCTGTTAGTTTATTCAACCAAAATATCCCCCATTTGTTTGATTAAATATTTTTACCCCATCTTTTATCCAGACAATTGGTCCTACAGGATAAAATAATCCTTGGCATAACAAAACAATATGCTGTCTCCTATCACATTTGTGGCTTTCACCCCCTCTGACCATAGGTATATTGATTCTGCATTGGCAAGCCAAGAATTAATATACAATATAGTCAGTAGATATAACAGCATTATTTTTAGGTTACCATATTGTGCCCTTGTTTTCCCAGTCTCAGCTTGATGAATTAGGTATTTGATCTTTTCCAAGTTATCAGTTACTCTTTTTCTTTTTCAATAGGGCTTCTCCTATTGATGGATTTGTCATTTGCCTTTAGATGTTTCATTTGTCCTGTGGTTTTTAGATGTCCTAGTTGGTTGCTTCACATCAGAAGCCATCTGGTACTTTTTTGTTTTTGTTTTTATTACTTACATTGTCAGTGTCTGATCATTTCTCAGACTAAGGATAAGTATAAAATTAAAAGACAAAGTCTATTTAATTAACAATGGACATTATATTTTAAAAGATTTAAACTTAAGGCTATAAGATTTGAGATCTTTAAAATTTAGAGCAATTTTAATTTAAGACTTTTATTAGGTAACAGGATATTTAGAAGTGCCTGAGCAATAATCACAGAGAATCCTGAAGGATAAAACAATTGAGTTTTTCCTTGTAACCATGAAATTTCAAATCCAATTGATATTGTAAATGAAAATTAAAATGTCTGAGTAATAATTAATTATTACAGTTCCACAGAGGAAGAAGGCTTTAGTTTTTAGAACATTTTGTAGGCAGTGTTATGTAACAGATTTGCAGGCTATGCCAAAATAATTTTAGGGAAAATTTTTTTAAGTAATTTAATTTTATTTACTGTAATTTTGGTTTAACTCCCTTTGGCCTTCACAGAAATTTGAGAAACATATCATTGTATTTGTATTTTTTGGCAATCATATTACCCAGAAGAAAGATTTAAAAAACCTTCGGATTTTAATTTACTCTTATTTTTCTTTTTGAATTTATTGTAAGCCTGTGTACATTGTTATTTTTTAATTTATGTTATGTTGTACAAAAATATACATTTAAAAATCAAGCTTTAGTAATAAAAGACAAAAATATTCTTACTTTCCTAGTGTTGTAAGTGTATTATTTAGTGGATGTGTAAGTGAATAATAGAACCATCTATTAAATGAATCTTAGTTTAAGCAAACTTTGTTTTTAGTTATGTGTTTTCAGCTCAACCTTGATAACATGCATAGATGGTCAAAGATTTTTTTTCAAATGAGTCATATTTTTATTTATTATGACTACAATCTTAGTTTTGAGCACTTTAAATTTTTTTATTTATAAGGTGATTGACCATTAATTTTAATGCCTTAATAATCTTTAACTGTTTACAACAAATTAGTAGTACAAAAAGTTTCAGATTTTACAATTTTAGACATACATCTCTAAGTATTTTTTGTTAACCTGAGTATACCTTCATAACCTGCTGTGGGATGGTCTTTCTCTATGCTGTGAATGTGTTGCTACTGTTGCTTAATAAAAAAGCTGCTCTGGCCTATGGCAAGACAGGTTATAGCCAGGTGGGAAATCCAAATGATACAGAGAGAAGGAAGGTAGAGTCAGGAGAGACATTGAGCAAGATGTCTTGAAACAGGTAAAGCCACGAGACCCAAGGCAATACTTATATTAGTAGAAATTGGTTAATTTAAGATAAAATAGCTAGTAAGCAATAAGCCTGAGCCACAGACTAATTAGTTTGTAGTATAAGCCACTGTGTATTTACGGGACCAAGCAACTGTGGGACTTAGAAATTCTTCTGACTGTCATGCATTGACCACATAGAACTGAGAAAGCTTAAAAAAGATTCTGAATGCACAGTAATGGAGCCACACTGGTCTTCCTAAGTCTCAGAGTCTCATGCTAGTAGGAGTGCAGAGATACGTCTCTGGACAGCTGTCTGCGAGACGGAGCTGGCTACCAGCCACCATGAGTTATGCAGCATGTTGGATTTCTGCAGTCTTTCCTATGGGCCATGGTAATAAGTGTCTTCACTCAGCTGCTGACTGTAAGATTGAGAACACAGCTGTAGGCTTAAAAACACAGCTACATGCTACTTAATACTGCTTCCCAGAATCAGGGTGGTAAGTGCAACTCATTAGTATGTATGCGGTATTGAAAAGCCAAGCAGAGAAGTGCCAGTCGCCAAAGCCATGCTTTCTTCCCAGCGATGCAGCTTAGCAATTTAAAAACTCACCTGCTCAGAAAAAGATTACAGATACACGATAGTCAGATGGAAAAAAAGAAAACAGGTTACAAGATGGTTAAATATATATGTAGGCTTGAGAGAGAAAAGCAAAAGGATAAAGAAAGTCCTTTAAAAAATAGAGTTTAAAGAAATGTAACAAATCCTACAACGTCTTATTATTAAAAAACCTGGAGCCCGATATTTGGGTGAAATGTTGAGAAATCAGAAAAGCAGGAAGAAGCCAGCCATGTTCTTACCTGCTTGGAGATCCTTTACCAAAGAGACCTACTTCCTGTATACCCATGCCTATATGCCTCTCTGTTCTGCCATCTCATTTTCTCTCTGTCCAGCTACATCACTTCCTCTTCCTGCCCAGCTCTGTCACTTCCTGTCTGTCTGTACAGACTTCCAGACCTTTATGGTTAACTAGTGTTGGAATTTATGGCATGTGCCACCATGCCTGGCTCTGTTCTCAGTGTGGCCTTGAACTCACAGAGATCCACACGAATTGGTGCCTCCTGGGTGATAGGATTAAAGGCATGAGCTACTACTTTGTGACCTCTATGTTTACTATAATGGCTGGCTTTTTTCTTTGATTCTCAGATAAACTTTATTGGGGGACACAGATAAAATATCACCACATTTTCCCCTTTTTTGTCTAAATTAAAAAATGTTATAACTAATATAAGAAAAACTATATATAATAAGTACAATAACTGTACACAATATATATAAGCAATAAATATATCAACAATGTGTAGTCCATTTGCATTTGACAAATTCAGTGAAAATATTACATTATCTATCCTATTTTGCTGAGTCCAAAATGTACCCAATTCACTTTCTATCCTACTTCGTATTACCAACAGAAAACAATCTTGTAATGTCTTTAAAGTTTATACACTTTACACCTCTTAGTGAGTTTCTTTTACGAATTGTTAACAAGGAAACCTATAACTATAACTATCTAATCTTCAACTCCCTCAGAGACCCAAGAAGGAAATAATATTACCTAGTAAAGCAGGAAGTGCAAACAAGCAACTTCCAAAAAATGTGAGTTATGACAGAAAACAGCCATCTACCTGGACAGTCACCCGAGGTTTCTCTGCAATATTGGGGCATCATCTTTGGCCTACTGGCTTATCATATCTGACAGACTCATCTGTGAAGTAGGATTTTCTAAAGAGCCTTCCTACCTTGTCTTGGCAAGGATTGGCAGTCATTTGTTTTGTATCCTGCTTGTCCATTTTAGATAGCATACTGTCAGCAGTCAATGTGAGGGCACTTTCTTGCCCAGTAGCTAACTTGCCACAATGAAAGTTAACTCCATGTGACGTTTCTTCAATGCCTATCATTTCCTCTGAAGTAGATTGGTGCTGCCAGGAGCAGACATGTCTCATAGTCATAAAACAAAGAAAAAAAGTATATGTTATTAAAACATCTTAAATGCAGATCTCTGAAGTGTTTGAAGATGACCTATCTAAAATATATTTCTGCTTAGTCTTGAAAACATACCTAATATGACTACAAGTTCGATTTTAGTGACTAAATACTACCTTACATTTCTTTATATCCAAAATATTTGGTAATAATAACTTTCAAGGACTGGCAAATTGCATTACATTTTTTTTTTTTGGTTTTTCAAGACAGGGTTTCTCTGTGTAGCTTTGCGCCTTTCCTGGATCTCACTCTGTAGACCAGGATGGCCTCGAACTCACAGAGATCCGCCTACCTCTGCCTCCCGAGTGCTGGGATTAAAGGCGTGTGCCACCACCGCCCGGCAGCATTACATTTTTAAAGGAACTGTATAGGTACAATATCTTGAACAAGATTAGAAATATACATGCAGTATTTCCTAACAAAATCAATCTCAAATTGGTATCAATATACATAATTTGTATGCAATATACAAGAATCCAATTCAATGTAAAATATTTAAAACTAATAGTTGCCTTCAAAAAGTAGATTCAGCTGGGCAGTGGTGGCGCACACCTTTAATCCTAGCACTCGGGAGGCAGAGGCAGGCAGATCTTTGTGAGTTCGAGGCCAGCCTGATCTACAGAGCGAGATCCAGGAAAGGCGTAAAGCTACACAGGGAAACCTTGTCTCGAAAAAAAAAAAGTAGATTCAATAATCTACTTTTTTATCTATATCATATCTATATCCTCTTTTTTCAGAGTAGATTCAATAATATACCTTTATTCTATCATTTCTATATCTTTTTTCAGAGTAGATTCAATAATAGACCTCTTATCTATATCCTCTTTTTACTTTTTCTTTTTTTCAAACAAGAACCTTAAATCTAATCTCCTTTGTTTAGTCTTTTTCCTCACCATTAACAATAACAACCTGTCCTAAACAATGACAATTATCCAAAACTGAAAGACCAAAAACCACCATTCTTGGGAATGTGGGTGTTGTGTTTTTAAAATTACTTCCTGCTGTTTTGGGGTGGAGGCATCTTTAGGGGACCCTGAAAAGAAAAAATTTTGGTTAATTCTTAAGTCCTGGGAGAGGTAGCTGTATCATTTGTTGCCCAGTCTCAGCATAATGCAGAAGTGCAGGGCTTATCTCAAGTCCTCGCTCCAGTAATCTGTGAGGCTGGATCGTCTCAGCTAGCCATCTTGAAACTGTCCTGTGTAGTTTGTAGTCCAATCTTTGGGTGATGTTTTTCCGCTTAGTGGTATTACCATCATCCTGATGGAATCGCTGTTGTGGGGCCCCATCATCTTTTTGGAGGCTTCAAATTTGCTGTTAGGTGTGGTCATGATTCCCTGCAGGAAACTAATAGAGACTGAAACACACAAAAAAGTACAGGCAGCTAGATGAAGCCTTTTTTTTTAAGAATTAATTAGTACTCTATATACCCATTAATATCATGAAAAAGTTGAAATATATATATAAATCTCATAAATTTTGATATAAAATTCATACCTTAAGAAAAGTTTTAAAGAATCAAAATAAAACCAAAGAGTTATGAGGTTAGTGCAATAGAATAGTCCCTTAATTTTGGTTTTCTTCTATCCCACATCAGATGGCGCTTCTGACATGATACAGAGATTTTGTATTTTCTTTTAACAAGCATGCTTAGGTTTAGAGAAGGAGAGAGCCATTCTCCAGTTCCAAAGCCAGCTTTATTTTTTAATTGAACTGGAACTACATAAAGACCATATGTGCTAAATGTCTGTAGAGAAGAGCAGAAACAAACATTTAGGAAGATTATGAAATTTTATATGATATGCCATTAGGCCAATTTACTCTTTCTCCTTGGACATTTTTTCTGGATGATATGTACTTTTTTTTCAGATGTCTCATTTGTCCAGGGCTTCAGATTGCTTAGCCTTCATTCTCCTGAAAGACAAAACCAAAAACCCTTCTCCAAGCCTAGCTTTGGGGAGGTTCCCTTTTAGCAAGTTATATCTGATTATATGAAAAGCATTTATTAGTGGTATAATTTAATTTTAATTGGATGGTCATGCTGGTTGATGAACTATCACCTCTTCTAATTAAGAGGTCTCTCATTCAAATTGAAACTTTATCAGTTTTGATGGTATCCATAGATTTCCTTCTCCTGAAGAAACAAAAGCAAAACCTCGTCCCCCAGTGTAGTACATATCCTGGTTTCCATTGTGAGGTGAGCACATCTTTAAAATATATAGGCTGATTTAATTCTGTAGTTTTTTTCTATTATCCAGTGTCTCTTCACAGCTATTGTTCCTTTCTCAGCATTGAGACAATTCAAAGTTGATAGAGCATTATGTAATCTATTTCTGGGGGTTTTTGTTACCCCTTTCAGTTTATTTAGCATATCCTTTAAAGTTCAATTTGATCTTTCTATGACTGCTTGGCCTCTAGTATTATGTGGTATACCTGTAATATGCTTTATATTGTAATAAGGAAAAAACTATTTCATTTTACCAGAGACATATGCTAGAGCATTGTTAGTTTTAATTTGTGCAGGTATACCTATGATGGCCATAACTTCTAGCAAATGTGTGATTTTCAGAATCAGCCTTTTCTGAACTCAAAGCAGTTGCCCGTTGAAATCCTGAATAGGTAACAATGGTGTGGTGTATATATTTCAATTTTCCAAATTCTGCAAAGTGAAACACATCCATCTGCCAGATTTCATTGCTTTGAGTACCCTTTGGGTCACATCCTGCTGGTAATGGAGTCTGATTGTAAAAAGAACAAGTAGGACATTTCCTTATAATTTCTTTGGCTTATTGCCAGATTATGGAAAAATCCTTTTTTATACCCTTACTATTGACATGGTTTTTTTATGAAATTCTGAGACCTCCAGCACATTTACTTTACTCTAAAACAAGCAACTGTTAACCTCAAAATACTTTACATTGATGTGGATTTTGCATTATTAATACATATTTAAGGTCAATTTTTTATATGTATATTTCTACTCTTGTTTATGTTATTATGCTTATGCAACTCAGTTAAAATTGTATTGTATCATATAATGCAGATTAGTAGTCATCTATGATAATCAAACTTCCAGTCATGTTACTTAAGTTTTCTAGGTATACAAAGATATATTTCAAGTAGGTAGGTAATCTTTAAACACTTCAAAGACCTACAAAATTTGGCATTTAAAGTGTTTTAAGAACTTAGACTTTTCTGGACAATGAGACATGTCTGCTCCTGGCAGCAAGAGGATGATGGCCATCAAAGAACCTTGTTTATGGAGCTTCCTTACAATGTGGAAAAGATTAGTCACTTGGGTAAGAAACTGCTCTTGGCTGGACTACCTTACAGTATGTTGTATAAACTGGACATGCAAGACCCATAGGATAGTGACTACTGAACTTTGCCAAAACAAGGTGGGATGGTCCTTCATGTTCCTGCTTTGCAGACAAATCTGCCATACATTTTGCAGGACACAGAGGAAAGTGACTGACAAACTTTGCCATTAGGTAGAACAGTCCTTCACATTTCCTGATTCACTGAAAATTATGCCAGAGACTCTAGGCCTGTAGGCTGAAGCTACATTACCAACATTACAAAGGAACTTTCTCTGGATTCCCATACTTAATTATAAGCAGCCTGCCATGCTAACATGCATTCCTGGTTCCTTATTCCAGATCTCCTTAAGTTCCTTAAGCATGGCACTATCTCCCCAGGCTGGACCTTCTGATTTCTGGAAGGAGTAAGAGGCCAGACTGGAATGAAAGAGAGATGGGAATAAGTAGGTTTTCCTTCCCAGAACAACTTGTTTCTTCTCTTTCTTCACTTTCTTCAATAATTACCCCCTTTCCCTTCATTTAAAAACTTTTAAGGTGTATTTTTTGTCTGTATGTTTATGCACCACATGCATGCCTGGTGCACCTGGAGGGCAAAAGAAGGCATTGGATCCCTAGACCTGAAGTCATGAGCAGCTGTGAGCCACCATGTGGGTGCTGTGAATTGAACCTAGGTCCTTGATTAAGAGCCACAAGTACTCTTAAACACTGAGCAATCTCTTCAGCCTGGCCCCATTCCTTACGTGAAGAACAGGAATTTTCCTGTTTAAATGTCATTTCCATTTTCCTCAGAGCTTTCCCCATTTCCACTCTGTAGCCTCATTATATGGGATTATACAGGGAGGGTTGTCTGCCTTCTTTGTGTGTACTCCACTTTCTCCTGATTACAAGGACACATAGGCTGGTGCTTCCACTGTAGATTTAGGAGGCAGACAGAAGGTTTGTGAGCAAAAACTTAACAGTTGCTAGCAAGAATAATGAGGTACATGGTTTGTAAAGCACTGGCCTAGTATGTATGGACCCTTGGGGTTGACCCCCCCATACTACAGAACAAACAATTAGTAACATTAAAAACTGAGGTAGCCTCAAAATCCAGGGATACCACTCTTGGGCATATACCCAAGGGATGCACAATCATACCACAAGGACACTTGCTCAGCTATGTTCATATTAGCATTATTCATAATAACCAGAATCCGGAAATAACGTAGATGCCCCTCAACCAAAGAATGGATAAAGAAAATGTGGAACATATACACAATGAAGTACTACTCAGCATTAAAAAGAATGACATCATGAAATTTGCAAGCAAATGGATTGGACCAGAAAATATCATCTTGAGCGTGTTAACCCAGACTCAGAAAGACAAATATGGTATGTACTCACTCATAAATGGATACTAGATATAAAGCAAAGGATATCCAGACTACAACCCCCAGCTCCAGAGAAGCTAGCTAACAAGGAAGACCAAAAGGGGGATGAATTGAATGCCCTGGGAAGGGGAAATAGTTGAGATCTCCATGAGTAAACTGGGGATGCAGCGAGGTGGGGGGAATGGAGGGTTGGGGTTGGGGGATCAGAACATAAGGGAACAGGATGGTTGAGCTGGAACTGGGACGGAGTGGGAGAGCAATGAAAGAGATACCTTGACAGAGGGAGACATCATGGGGATAGGGAGAAACCTGTTGTTAGGGAAGTTCCAAGGAATCCATAAGGATGACCCCAGCTTAGACTACTAGCAATAGTGGAGAAGGTGCCTCAGCTGGCTTACCCTGGTAATCAAATCTGTGATGCCCTAACTCTCATCATATAGCCTTCACCCAGTAACTTATGGAAGCAGATGCAGAGATCCACAGCCAAGCACCAGGCCGAGCTCCAGGAGTCCAGTCGAAGAGAGTAAAGAGGGATTCTATGATCAAGGGGCATCAAGATTATGATGGGGGAAACTTATGTAGATAACCAAACCAAGCTTGTGGGAACTCAAGAAATTTATATCAACAGCTGTGGATCTTCCATGGGACTTGACAAGGTCCTCTATATAAGCGAGACAGTTGTGTAGCTTGATCTGCGTAAGGCGCCCCCTGGCAGTAGAATCAGGATCCATCCCTGGTGCATGAGCTGGCTTTTTGGAGCCCATTACCTATGGTGGGACACCTTGCACAGCCTTGATGCAGGAGGGAAGGACTTGGACCTGCCTCAAAAGAATGTACCAGGCTCTGTTGACTCCCCATGGGATGCCTTACCTTTTAGGAGAAGGGAATGGAGGGTGGGTTTGGGGGAGAAAGCTGAGGGGTGTGGGAAGAGGAAAGAAAGGGGGATCTGTGGTTGGTATGTAAAATGAATAAAAAAATTTCTTAATTAAAAAAATTGAGGTAGCAGGCAGCAGTGTGTTAGACTAGTCACTGTAAAACCAAGGCTGCATTGAGCTCAGCTTCATCTGTTAAATCCAAATAAATAAAATATACTTCTTTTTCTTTTTACAGATATGATAAAGGAAGTGATAACATCACCAGAGATGGTTCCACTAGGCTGTTTATACAATGATTTATTTATTTTTATTTTATGCATTTGGGTGTTTCTGAGTTTTTTTGCAAGTAACATCTTTGGACCATTTGTCCATTTGCATGCAGTGCTTAGAGACATCAGAAAAGTGCAACAGATCCCCTGGACTTGACTAAGAGATGACTGTGACTTGCCCTGTGGGTGCTAGGAATAGAACTGAGGTCCTCTGAAAGAACAGCCACTACTTTAACCACTGAGACACCTCTCCAATCCTCAGACATTTATTTTTTCTGAGGCAGGGTCTCACTGAGTATTCCTGTCTGCCTTGGAATACACTATGCAGGCTGATCTTGACTGTGAAAGATCCACCTGCCTCTGCCTCCAGAGTGCTGGATTTAAAGGCATGCACCACCACTCCTGGAATTCACCAGACAGTTTGAAATATACAAATATGCATGGGAAATGTAAACAGAAGGTACTGTCTTTTATGCCAAAAGGTGAAATAATACACAATTCCATTTAAAAAAAATTAAAGAAGCTAATTGGGAGAATTTAAAATTTCTCCAGGGTCAACAACACTTCTGAACTCAAAATATTCAAGAAGGGTTTCATTTAGTGCTCAAAATTTTGTTTGGGTTGTCAACTGCATTGTGTTAACTTAGCCATTGTCATAAGTATGTGAGGTGAGCTCTGACCACTGAAAGAGTAGCCCCTTTTCTTTTAGGAATGAAGTCCTAATGGGACTCTTGCCGAATGTGTTTGCATGGTGGATTTCTCACAGCTATGCTTGCTTCCAGACAAGAAAAATTTTTTACCTTGCCATTTTTGAGACACTCAGATCTGTTTCTAACATTTAAACAGCTCAGTTTTCTAGTTCTGTTTTTATGTCTTCCTTTGCCTGAGTGTAATGGTATACTCACCTTTTATATTGTCTTATGTTTGAATATAAACATGCTAGTATTGCACCAGTTTTCACTGGTCATTTATGTATTTTATTTTCTTTTTGATGTTGTTATTTGCATTCCAGTTAGGTAAGAAAATAAAAATTTCAAGCATTGATCTTTGCTAGGCTTGAGAACTTGTTCTCTTTCAAAGTCTTTTCCACACTGGAGAATGCTCCTTGGAGTTAGGGAAGACTGGGCATCTTCTGCTGTTGTATGGATGATTCTCTGTAGGGTCGCTGGGCATTATTCATTTTCTATGTTGTTCATGGTCTTGTTTCTAATTAATATTAGATTGAATTATTTGTCACTAAATATTGAATGTTAAAGTATCTCAGCATTTCTGTCTATTTTCTCCCCACCATTCTATCAGTGATTGTGTCAATTTCTAAGAAATTGTTGAATAAAATGAACCCATGCTGACAAATAGCCTTCTAGCAAACAGTACATTTTATCATTGGTCAGTATTCTTCTTTTTGTGTTTTAAGAGTTTTGTGTTGGATTGTCTGTTACCTTTCAAAACTGTGGCTGCCCATCTTCTTTATCGCTATCCACATTCATGGTGTATCTTTTAAAAGATTTCTTCTCTTACAGCATTTGGTGTCCTTAAGATCTGAAGTGAGAAGAGCTAAATCTTTGAGACTAAAGTAACGCAGACCATGAAGGTAGTACTTATTTCTCTACTTTTGATTCTCTCCTTTACCAGCCATCTTATCAGACCCCTGTCCTCCTGGCTTCTTTGTTGACCAGAGGTCACACATAAACACCCCCGCTGCAGTGGTTCCCTTCTCCAGCATGTCAGTTTATTAGTATTTAGCTGACACAGTTGGTATGGTTGGATCAGGGACCAGGGGCTGGCACTGATTTGTACTTTGGCAGCTTAGTTATTGGCTATGCCAGGAAATCATCTCCCAAGGATCAGCCCTTCTTCTGTTCTGTCTTGGATTTTTCCCTGTCTGAGACCATGTGAGTCATCTCTTTGATGGTCAAGATAATCATCATCTTCCTCACTGAGGCTCTGTGTGGTCCTGCAGCTATCCCTGGTGCTTTGACTCAGTGACAGTCCCAGTGCTGAAGTGTGCAAAGTTTACTATTAAATATAATGTTCTTCTAAGTACCTCCCCCCAAGATATTTGCAAGCCATATTTTCTGTCATTTAAATTCATTCAGTCTACTGTTTTGTGTCAGATTTGAAGTGAATAGTTCGTGGGAAATATCTACTTTAATTTCATTTTCCCAGTGTATCCCTGACTGATCTGCAATTCTTCATGCACACCAGGATGGCCTCCAACTAATAGAACTCCACCTGGCACTGTCTCTCCAGGGCTGGGATTAAGGTGAGCACCATCACACCCAGCCTCATTTTTCATTTGTTTTCTTTTCAAGGAGCTCCATGTTGACTTGCATTGTGGGTGCAATAAATTGGATTCCTACTAACACTATGTGTATATGTTCTTGCTCTTTTTTTGTCCCAAGTATTTGTTGCTAATATTAATGTAATTTACATGAGCATTTTTGACACCCTGATTTGAAAGGGCAAGAGGTCCAGTCATTGTTTCTGAGACACAGTCTCAGAGCAGAGCAACAGGGGAAATGGCTGCTTCTCCACTAAATATATTTGAGATTAGTTTCATTTTTTTCTTTTTTTCTGGGAATGTCATATATTGAGACTATGCAAACTTCTAAAACTCTGGCTTTGAAAATATTACCTGGGGCCTGGAGAGATGGCTCAGAATTTAAGAGCACTTTATGCTCTTGGAGAGGACCAGGATTCATTTCATAGCACCCAAGTGGTGGATCATAACCATCTATAATTCCAGTTCTACAAGGTTTAGTGTATGTTTAGGATTTCTCATTCCTGTCCCACATGATGCTTTCTATGCTGTTCAGTAAACACAGAGAAAAATACTTTGTTATTGACAGACAGGCACATACAGAGTACATAGACAGACAGACGACACACACACAGATAGCATACAGACACACAGGGATAGATTCACAAGACAGCCTTCAGAGAAGCACAGATTTAGACACATGGAAGAGACACCCAGAGGATGGAAGGGACAGGGAGCTTCAAGTTTAGAATTCAGATCTGGACTTGTTCTTAGTTCAGTGGCTCCAAGGAAAAATGCTTTTATTTCTTTACTTGACTCCACTAGGATTAATTATTTGTGACATGGAGTTAGTCACTAATGTGTTTAGTCTATGCACATATGCAGAATCTATTATATAGTGACATTGCTTTTCCATATGAAGAGAAACAATAGAACTCACCACAATGTGAAACAAGCAGTGCTGTCATGTGAAAGGTGCCCATGGGCTCAGAACAAACCCTGTGCTTTAAAAACAGATCCCTATCTCTTATATTTTTGGTTGTGAGCCTAGCCTTTAACAGCTGAGCTATCCCTCCAGCCCAAGATCCCTATCTCTAGAGGCATTTGTATTTCTGTGTGCTCACCTCCCTGCAGAGCTGGGATGCCTGTTTACCTGCTATGATCATGACAGCACAGCTTAAACCTCAGAACACACCAGAGAAACCTGGTCCTGATTAAAATCATGATAAATCTATTTCCTAGTTAGAAACTCTAAAGGGGCTTGTGTAATTCTGGAGTTTCTTCCTCAGCCTATGCAGATGGGCATGGGTGTACACAGAGAATTGTAGGCAACAATCATAAAAGAATCAATGGATAAAGGGATAAACAATATAGTATGTAGGATAGTTCTATTTCTACTATTTTTGAGAATAATATAGAATCCTTTCCAAAATGGCTGCTCTAGTTTACATGCCAAGAAGGAGTGTATAACAGTGTTCCTTTCCTCACATTCATGTCAGAATTTGTTATTTATCTTGGTGATGGCCATTATAACTGGGGTGAGATAGAAACTTTAAGGAGGTTTAGTCTGCATCTCCCTGATATCTATGTATACAGGATTCTTTGTGAACATGACTTGAGGAGTCCCCAAGCGAAATGCACAGCCTAATCAGGAATCATGAATGTACAAGCATATCTGATGCCTGCTGACTTTAAAGCCTTCATGGAACTAAATTAGGAAAAGCTAAAAGAAATGATCAAATATTCTGATTCATAGTGCACACCAGAATTACACCAACATGAACTAATTTGAGAGGTTTATAAGCAGCAACAACAATGAAGCAGCAATAAATGTACCTTGATTAAAAAGAAAACCATAGAAGCAAATTGATTCATCACAGAATTATTTCAGAATTTCAGAGAATAACTGATACTGAAGCTACTTATAATATTCCGTGATGTAAAATGAAGGCAAGGCTTTCCAATTGTTTATGAAGTTAATATTACCTGATATCAAAGAAGATAAAGTGGCAGAATGATTTTTTTTTACTTTTATTATCTTTTTTTGTCATTTCACATGATAGACATTGTTTATTGCACATTCTTATCCCTTACTCCCTACAATCCTGGCCCATACATACCCTTCTCTCTGTCTCCCTATTTCCCTGCCCCTCTCTCATGTTCATTTCTATTCATTTTGTTTCTGACCCACCAAGATTAGCCAGGGCTGTCTGTGAGCATGTGGGTTTGGAGCTATATGTTGGAGCCTGGTGGGCTCAACAGAAGACACAGAACTAAAGACAGTGATTCCCTTCTCCTAAAGTCTCTCCATAGCCACAGTTGAGAGCTAAAGGGAGGGGCCCTGTGAGCCTCTGCCCTCCTAGACTGATTGTGTCCAGGGCTGCCTTGACTGAGCCCAGTGCAGGTGAGTACAGTTGCTCTGCGTTACTGATTATGAGTTTGTGGTATGTGGAGAATGGCATGTCATGGTCCTTCCCCCTCTCCTCCTTCTTATTTCCTTCCTACCATCTCTTCCTTGATATTCCCTGAGCCATAGATGGCATGTTGTTACTGACTTGTGTAGGGCTGTGGCCATTTACATTGCTTATTTTCTGCATCTTGGACAGATACAAGCTTCTCCACTCACCAAGGAGTTTTCGAAAGGAATTTTCTGTGTTTTCCACAAAAGCACATTCAGCCTGCTTCCCAGAAGGGAAACTTGTTTCTGATTTAGTACAACCACAGCATCACCAGCTGACAGCAGAGCATGGATTCAGCACTAGGCTGTTAGCAATGGGCTGGCTGACCACTGACTTCCTGAGACACCTATTTCCTTTCTAAATCCTGAGTCCCTGAAATGTCTTCCCCCAAGTCAACGTTCCCAATAGTGTAATTCTGAATGTTTGAGTGGCAAGAGTGGAGGTCTGTGAGGGAAGGATAAAGTTGACTTTTTAGTGTCACTTCATTTGCATAGTGATGGTAATCATTATCCAGCTTTCTAATAAAGTTCTCCAGAGTGAGTTACTGTCTCAAAAATTAGAATATTTCAAAGAAGTATAGAACATACAGATGGAACATGACTTTTACTTTTAACTAGTGCTACTTGCATGGTGCATTTTTGTTTCAATTCATTATTTTCTTTGACTGAGGCATCCAGCTCCTCTACCTTGTCTTCAAGCCTGATATTCTGTTTCCTACCTGATTGAACTCTGAGTTATTATTAGGCTTACTGCATTTTTCATTTCTTGCTTCATTTCAGTTTCAGAGGTTTTTTTTTTTTTTTGGTGTTTCTAACTACTTATTGAATGACTTTTCATATCCTACAGTGTCTTCATTGGTAAGCTTTTTTGCATCCCAATAAACATCTCCACCAATGCAGCAATCCAAATTAGACCAAATCAGACTGAATCAGAAAAAGCCCTGGTTTAATGTGTAAAGCCTTCTTGGGTGATTCTCCAGCCCTCCAGAGAGGAGACGAGGATGAGAGACCAGAAAACTACATGTTTATTTTCTGGGATGCAGCTTAAATACCCTGTGGGAGTGGTCTTAGTCCTCTTTTGGGGAGGGACTGTGTTTGGCAGGCTTTGAGGGGTGAGTTTGGGGAGGGGAGTTGAGGTGGATCTTCCACCAGAACATTCCAGACTCTTTAGGTATATGAATGCTAGGGTGCCAGGGCTGAGGTGGAGCTCCCACCAAACATTCCAGACTCTTTGGGTATATGGATGCCAGGGTGCCAGGGGCTGAGGTGGAGCTCCCACCAAACATTCCAGACTCTTTGGGTATATGGATGCCAGGGTGCCATGGGACGATG